CGTTGGTATCTACCGTACGTGATTATAACTTGAGGTTGCGATTTTACAAAACGTATGAACTCTTGGAAAGACTTTAAGTCCCTACCAGACAAACCAACACTTCCCACACCACACCTAACACCTTAATCATAATCCATTCGCACGCCGACGCTCAAGCATGATCTTCTATATTTTACATTCAATCTCATCGTTTATATCCTCCATTAGCCACCTTAAACATTCAGGATTATGAACGCGAAGGGCGCCTATAGTACATTTATGCGATTTCTTGCTGAACCCTAATCAGTCATCCGCTGACACTCCCTTTCTGCTCTCGATATTTCTAGAAAAAATTTGAATAAATTGTTATCATACTTCGTTATTATTTTCACAGTATAATATCACGTTGTACTGTGACTACTGAAAAATGACTATGTAATTCAAACGTCATAACACTAAGCCGTACGAATCTATACTCAAGGAGATTGCATCGAAACATTTCGATTGAAGGAGGCCAGATTCTACAGTAGATAGTCCGAGGTATAGATTCCGTTAAATTTGTGACTGTATAGCTGTGACTGTATACCGAGAGCCATAGACAAATTTTTAAATTTTGAAATAAAACCTAATTTGATTTGTACTCGTTCATTTTGATAGTTTTCTTATTCTAATTGTTTCGTCAGTTGAATGTACAATAATCGCCCTATTATAATATTTACTTTATCGCCCATAGGTTAGGTTAGGTCTCATCGCATTTATTTGCAGCATATAGTATTATGCGGTGCACAATTATTAAAAAATACCAAAATTGTTGAATGAATTTGATTATTATTTAAATTTTAAGAGGACAATTATCTGAATTCTTTCATGGTTTTTCACAATAATATTTTAATTATTATGCACGTTTTAAGTAGGTAGGTACCTACTTAAAATATTAAGATATAAAAATGTTCAAAAATCACTTCAATATTAAATATATTATTAAAATTCGACGGGAATACTCAGATAATGTTTTACCTTTAAGTTTTATGTTAGTCAATTAATTCTAATATTAAAGCTAACAACACGAAAGTTGGAAGTTTGAAACACAAATATGGTATGTGCTCGTTTTCAAGACGGAGATAAAGTCATATTATGTGGATGTGTAACTTAATATAATATGTATAACACATAGGAACGTCTAATAAAATGTTCAGAGAGCTACATTATAATATTATTGATTATTAGAAGTGAAATACTGTGCCATTGAAATGTCGAATCTCTTATAGGTAACATCGAATTTATTTTAACTTTTCAGTACAGAAAATATCTCTTAGGAACTAGGGACTAACGTCGTCATAATCTAACAATGGGAAAACAATTTTTAACGAATTTGAATATTCCATAATAATGGTAGGTACTTGCTAGAATACAAGACTAGAATGTCTTGATTACGAGAATGTGTTACTGTGTTAGGTACATATAGTGTCTAGAATATTTTTGTTGACGTTTTCCGTGAACGGAATGTCATTAATCACAAAGTATGAGCTGTAAATTTGATTGCGAAGTTCCAAACTGGATATTCACATAGTTGGCAGTTAAAGTTAATACGATAAAAACTGATACCCATATTATTATATCCCTATGCCACTGAGTCTGTGATCGATAGTTTTTTAAACAAGCATTAGACAATTTAACATCGTCAATAAATAAATGAATGTTCATATAATTAATTATATCAATCGAAAAATCAACGATAATGTCAATAAACTTTTAATATTTTTGAAGTAGGAAATGTTTTTCTGCAACGTAAGTGGTCAATAAGATTTATAGTATATTCATTGGTTATGCGTTGCGATGGACCTACGAGGGAATGATATTGTTATTATTTTCTTCAGGTACCGCGCATTCCGTTTTTCAAAAAGTTTTCGAATTATCGTAGAATTATTATTTTACGCGTCTATTATTGGATTGTGCTGGTAGAATAATTCATATAGGCATATAACAATATAACAATAGCAATATAACAACATTAGCAAGAGCCAAGGGATTAGAAGTATCAGATATAAGTCATCAGATGTGAGTCCTCTTATTAAAAAAAATTCACTCGTGGTCCCAAATAACTCTTATAATTTTATTCAATATTTATTAATATATTAATTGACCAAAAGCACCAAACATATTATGATAAATAGGTACTACATGAATAGGTGAAATTATGAAATTCATTATAGACACAATTTACACATACAAATATAATATTTTAAACATTTATATTGTATACTCATTTATTTAAAAACATTTTCTTGTGTTCTTTATAAGCTATAATAAAATAAAACTAGTAAAAACAGAAGATCTAAATAGGACGAAATACACATACAGGTATTTTAAAAGTACCTACTAAACACTTTATGGGCTCTGTGTGTATTCGTATGCACAATTAATAATTGCAGCAATTAACCGAGACGTGGATTATTCCAAAATTTTTTTTTTCTTCCAGGAATGATGCAGTATTTATTTTAAATAATTTAACTATGTATTATTTTGCGTGTGTCTAGATAAATAATATATAGGTAAACTTTAAATCTGAGGCAATCAAGTATACGTCATGCCCTATCTGATACCTCGATGTTCTCCTAGCACCCCTTATAATCCTGCACTGTTACTGCAGTCCGGGGTGTTACATTATAATATCATCTTCGACCTCAGTCGGTCAGTTTTGAAAAAACTCCTTAAAAAAAATGTTGGATACAAATTTTAAATAGTATTTTTTTTTGTCAATTAGTTTATTAGTAGTTGTATAGGTACGGTTTTTTTTTATCATCTATTTCCTATTTATTAATATTGGTCAATATTTGTTTGAGTATTTCATCTACTTAATTACAATTATTTAGAAATAGTAGGCATGGTACCTAACTAAAATTAAAAATTAAATTTTAGTTTTGTATGGAAATTTGACAGCTACCTATTCTTTATTAACTAACAATATCTAATATTTATTAACTACTAATATTATTTTAGATTCTGAGTGTTACGATGAATGTATTGATTTTACAATGATGTGTGTTTTTTTATTTTAGATTCTGAGTGAAACGATGAATGTATTGATTTTACAATGATGTGTGTTTTTATATTTATTTTTTTGTGTCTGTGTACACGATAAGTAGTTGAAATAATGCTTCGATTTTCGACTTCAGTATCTTGTTCGATTGGAAAGTGAATATCGTTGGTGCATTGGGGAGGTCAAAATTTAAAATTCCCAGTACTTTTCAAAAGCGCCAAGAAAAACAAAAGAAAAATTAAGGAAAAACGGGAATTTTTACGCAAAATCGATTTTTCAGAAAATTGAATTTGGTTTTTGGTGTAACTTTAAAACAAATGACGGTAGATACATGAAATTTTCAATGGTTGTTTATATTTGCATTTTGTATACACGATAACATTTTCAAAATATTTTGATTTATTTTGAACTGTTTAGGGACATTTTGATTTTTCATTTTTTTTAGTTTTTTTTTTTCTAGAAATATCAATAAAATTTTATTTGTTGGTTAAAAAAACTTGAAAATTTAATAAAAGGCTCCTAGTATATTGTTTCAAAGGCAGATGAAAAATATTAAAAATCGTTAGTCACAGTTTTTTTTTTATAAGCATTTAAAGTTCAAAAATTGACAAAATATGGAAAAATCACGAAAATTAGCAAATTATTTTGAGTTAAGAATTCGTAAAAATTTTTCTTTTTAAATCTAAGATTTTAAAATGTAATACAAGATTACTCATAAGTTTGTATACCTATATCAATAAAAAAATCTCTACCGAACAATCAAATTAAATTTTTATGAGAGTTTGAAATTCAAATTTTTACAACATTGGATGTTCACTCGATTTCTCATGTTGCGTTTTCCTTATTTTGTTGTTATTCATAAACGAATAACTATAGATACATGAAAATTTCACTGAATGTTCAGATTAGAATTTCCTATACTCCATACAATTTTGAAAATATTTTGACTCTTTTTGAGCTGTTTACGGATATTTTCATTTTTCAACTTTTTTAGTTTTTTTTTCTATAAATATCAATAAAGTTTTATCTGTTGGGCCAAAAAGTGTAAAAATGTAATACAAGGCTCCTGATATATTGTTACAACATCAGTTGAAAAATATTAAAAATACATAGGCACAATTTTTTTTTATAAGCATTTAAACATCGAATTTTGACAGAATTTTTCATAATCTCGAAAATTAATGAATAATCATTGTAATTAATAAATTATAAAATGTTCAGTTTTTATAGCTAAGGATTGAAAATTTAAAACAAGATTCCACGTAAGTAGTTTATTCTCTTACCGAAAAATCTAAAAAATATACAATCACAGTTTATTTTTATAGTCATTTTATGTTCAAATTTGGACGAAATTACATATTAAAAAACCTAGTTATTTTGTTGTGATTATACATATAATATTATTCGTGGGTACCTACTTGAAACTTCTAAAGTGTACTATTATATATCTATGATAGTATCAGGGTTTGTTATTGATGTTGATGTATAACGTGTTATAAGTACCTAATGGATATTGTGACAATGTGATATGATTAATTTGGAATTTATTATAGGTCAATTTTTTTTTTTAATACTATAGATATGTATATAATTTGTCTTAAACCTAGACTGACATACCGTCTTCGCTCAGAATCGTTTTTCTTATACAATGATATTGTATCATTGAATTCAAATTTAATAGCATTCATTATACAGTGACCCACTTGTAACCTACTGTACAGCAGAGCGACATCCACTTACCCACCTTTTTAGTGTTAAGGATTTTAAACGAATACAATATGCTAATTAGTAATTTTCAATAATCAATATTGATCAAATAAAAATGTATAAAAGCCGAAAATAAGTACTGCTGAATTTTAAATTTGCAACTTCACATTTAGTTTTAGCTACTGCACAAATTGTAGGCGTAACGATACACTTCGATTTTTGCCTCTGAAAATCTTCAATGATAATGGAAAACCGACTAAACCGGAGCACTCACCGCCGTAAGAGGAGTCGTCGTCGTCATCGTCGCCGCCACCGCCGCCGCCACCTGTGCCACCTCCGATGCCGTCCGTCTCTCGTCGTGTTCGTCGTCCCGCGGAGATCGTCCCCGACAGCGTGCCGGACAACAGCATCATCGCGACGGCCAACAGCAGCCACGTCGTCGTCGGTCCCATCCGGAAAGGTCGCGGCAGATGAACGTCGTATAGCTCACTATTAATAATTAATATCGTTAAACTAAGGTCGTCTGCGTGCCGACGATATAATGTATAGTAATTATTGTGCGGACACGAGTGCCGCTATTGCCGGGACGTTTGCACGATGCGTGGCGAAAACGACTCTCGAGCGTCAGCGTTTTTATTTTTTTTTTTCAGAATTCCGTTCCGTTTGCTGTTTTTTGTTTTACTGTCGGTTTTTATTATTTTTTATTTGTTTTCTGCAAACACACACACACAGTCGTTCGGTCGAGTGTATTGTACGCACTCGCATTAGCGCGACCGGGGACCGGACGAAATTCGGACGCGATTAATTCGACGACGATGTATATAATAATAATATAATGTATAAACGTGTATTGTGTACCGATATTATTATTATTATTATTGTTGATGTTATTAACATTATTTTTCTTTTCATTGGGTTTCGTTGTTATATTTATTGTTTTAAATCTCATCACAATGCACATTAGGAGGTACCTATTATACGTATATTACGGTATGAGCCGCGGCCGCGTGCCTGTTTGTTATCGTGGAAAACAATATTATTATAATACCACGACCGAGCGTGTTCCACTTATGTATTGTACGTATTTGTATAGGTATATACCTAGATCTGACATGACGACTATATGTTTAACACTATACTAGCATAGTTACGAAATGTCCGAATCGGTTCACGGATTGTTTGGCATGGAACCGCGAGGTGTGCCAAAATCGTTTTCAGGTTGAGGGTGTCGGTGGTGCCGGTTTTTCCAATTTTCTGAAATTATATTATTTTATATTTTATAGTTACTACCTTAGTTTTAATACATTTCCACTAATCTACAGATTGATACCTATTTAGGGGGGGGGTTGATAGTCGATATAAGGTGTACCTATATACTATCAATGGAAATGTATTCACAGGAACCACTCTCACGCCCTGTAAGATGGTCGGATATCGTTAATTATTATTTTATTTAAAATAATCAAACATTTTTCCGGTCGGATCAAAGGCCGAATTTTAATAATTTTACTTTAAATAGTGGTAGAAAAATACGTTTTAAAAAGAACAAATATTGTGCATTATTCAAATTCATATTTTAGCTCCTATAATAATATTATAACTTTGAAAATCGGTTATTGATCCAACCTGCAAAATGTTCTTTGTTTTAAAATTAATGAAATCCGACTATTCTACAAGGCGTGAGAGACTTTCCTGTAAGACATGTTTTTGTACTAAAAAAACGCACCGGCTCCTACACTCTTAATATATGTTACCTATTATTTAAATGTGATATTTATTGCTATTTACAACAAATTATAACATTTTTCAATTGACCAATAACGCTAATAATTTAATATTAGTAATTGATTTCGACAAAACTTGTATGTTCAAACATATTTCATTTGTCTATTATCTCAGTTCTCATAATTAATACCAATGTGAATTTTGTTTTTATTTTTTGGTTACATATCAATTTTGGACATTTTAGTAAAAAAAATAATGTTGGAAAATTAGGTCATTTGAAAATTCCTGCTGAAACCAATTTGAACGTTTATTGCATAAAATAATAAATATAGGCGCAAATAGCGTTGGGGATTTGGGGGGCTAAAGCCTTACTTTGATTATATTGAATAAGTTTAAAACAAAATGTAGGAAATGTTTCTGGGAGCTATGGTTATTTTTGGGGGGCTTAGCCTCTAAATCCCCCACCCTATTTAAGCCTATGATGGTCAATCAATACTGTTGTATACTTGTATCCAATTGGATACAGACAATTCTAAAAGGACATCATATGCGTTTTACGGTTTATCTATTATATTAGTAGAGGTAGGTACTAGTTATACCATTGTACCTTTTTTGTCATACAAAATTTTATAAAAATATTTTGGACTTATCTTGAAATTATTATTTTTTTATAACTTGGCAGTATTGTTGGCCAAACACTAATATTAGCTTAGATGTCACAATATTTTGATTTTGAAATATTCGAATTTTGATATATTTCCCGTTACTTAGGTTACATGCTAAATACCAACGGCGTGGTCATTAACTACTTAGTTAAAAAGTTATTTTTTTAACGTTTTAACTTAATTATTAGGTTGAATTTCTAATTTTCTAATTAAGTTAACTCGTTAAAATATCTATTGTAATAATGTAGATTTTTCCAGTTAGTTTGAAAAATAATACATTAAGTTAAAATGGCATTATCTATTTAACTGTAGTTTTATTCAACAGATATTTTTATTTTTGTCACGCCTTGTGTACATGGATTTCAAATACATAAAAACAAATATAATATACTACTCGAATTAGTTGACACAATGACACATTCTATTGTAGCAAGTACCCAGTTGTCTAAATCATTACAGCTACTGGTTAATGTGCCAAATTAAGGAACAGTGTTATAACTTATAGCATACATACCTATATATGTAACTTTTAGAGTTAAATGGTCAAATAAGTATAACGTTTATTATTTATTTATAACTTGACTCAAATTCAAATTTTTCATCAGCTTTCCCAACTTTGCCATACGGTCATCACGGTTCACGTGTAGGACGTATTCACGTCCTCGTAACAGAATTCTAGGTATGTAGGTATATAGTGTCGGATTTATGCCTACTTTCCGGCATCGGTGGAGGTGAGCAAGTCCACATAACTTCTTCTTGGTCTCGTGTAAGTGTTACCAATGTATGTTATGTATTATTAAAATGATTTACAAGTATTCATATTTCCGCTGGTAGATATTTGTTGTCGTTTTTAATTAAACCGACGAATGCTGTTCGTTGAAAACCTAACACGATTTTGAAACGCTATTGATGTATACAGAATCTAATAATATCCCGATAAAAAAAATATCATTTAGTTATTTAAAAATATGTAAATTTGTTCGTAATGTTATTATAACGTTGTAACTTGATAGTTGGAGGGTTTTTTTTTTATATTTCACTCGTGTGAACGGATGTGGTGAGAAGTTAAGTAAGATAATATCTATATAATATACTATGGTTTATGCATTATTAGGAATACGGATGGAAAAGATGGAAAAGTTTAGTATTAAATAATAATAATTAAAACAATTTATGATAATACAGTATTGAAGAATAGTTTGGTGATCTTATTCGTATTCACTAACTGTAGATAAAACCCAGCTCATAATAATTAATAATAATAATAGCTATATACATATATTAACTATTTTATATTATCACATCCCACAGATTGTAAACAAAAGGACTTATCCTACATAATATACGTTTATCAAGAACGTTTCCTTCACTTGTTCGTCGTGACTGATATCGTTTTTTCTATCACTTCCTGATAGACGACTAAGTGAAATTGAAATTTATAAATTGTATAAAATCTTTTTCCTCTGTCCAGCAGTCTATCGACTAAAAAAACCGTCAACCTAAGAACTCTATTACACATTGTAAATTCTTGCGCTATCGGAAACGTTTCTCGAGCTACCTATACATATTGTATACATATTTTTATATTTTTTTATGTATCTACAATTTTACGATTATTAACCAGTTAACGCAAAGCCAAAACAATGGAATATTCTAGTTTTGTGTTATTATTATTATTATTAATAAATTATTGTTGTCTCCGACTTCTGCCGGAGACGTGTGCTCGTTACGAAATACAGTGACCAAGTTACAATATTATCATAGTTTATGTGTATATAGTTTCTTTGCAACCGGTGTTCAACAACGACCCGGTGTCGGTACCGGCTATACTAATTATTAGGCAACAGAGCATAATAATATAATATTAAAATTGCATTTTAAATATTTTCTGTGCTCGGGACGACGATGACCCGCACAACCTCATAATAATTGCACACAGTGTTGTCGACGAATAGAGCAAATTTACATATAACAATATAAAATATCTTTATTGTAAGCACGCTGATGTATAATATTATGGAGAGGGGGTACGACGGAGAAGGAAGAGTTGGAGGAAAATGGAAGGCGCACAGGTATCTATATAACCTATTATTATAATGTATATTATATTTACACTTTCGCATGACATGAACAATATCGTTATTACCTATGTATACCTATTTATATTATAGGGACGATTTTGGTGCGTTTAGAGCAACGTCGTCTTGTCGCTGTGTGTCCTGAACCTACACTATAATATAGTCAATATAGAAGCATAATATTATGACGATAGTGCAACGGCGTCGATTCGTTAACGATTGCTTTTCGTGTCGGACGTAATAATAATCACGTAAAATACATGGGTATATCGTGACTCTATATCTGTAATATTATATTATAGCCTCACAGCCCACAGGGCGCACACAACCGCTAAACCATCTGGGAGGACTAAGTGCGCCGCATAATGTCGAGAAAATATCAGACGAACAAATAAAGTTACCCAAATCAGTTAGACATTTGGGGGGGGGGGGAGGGCAAGTCTCCTGCAGCACCATGCAATAGTAATAATAATATGTAATATATCAGTCGTGTGGAACCACCGGGTAATTAATTACTATATAAAAAAAAAAATTTAACTACAATCGTTTCGTTTCCTCCGCAAACCCATCACTTGAATCTCTATAGCTGAAATTACAAATTTGTATAGAGCAACGTCCGGGCCGTGTACGATTGATTTCCAATTTAGTCGTCGGTCTTGGGTAGGTACAAAAGTGTATAAAATGTGTAAACACCAATGGAATGTTTTGGAGAACACTGTACTTATATTGAATTTTAACGTTTAACTATATCAATTTCTCTCGTTAGGTAATGAATATATTTTGATCTGTTTGTTTTTTCAATCATAAACAATATCAGTGTGGGTTTTACACGGGATTCGCCCGGTTGGAAGTATGCGGTAATTAATAAAATTATTGTATTTGGTTATAATATGTATGATTGAGATAAAGTCAACTCTTCGGTGTAGTAAATTCCTAATTTTTAAGATCACCAATAGTCGTCAGGGTTGATTAATTCGATCTGAG